TGAAAATCTACAGTGCAAGCGAAAAACCGGCGCTGGAAGAGAATCCGTGAGAACCTTACATAATATGCACTACTTCATCGGTTGCGTGTGCGTGTACTACATACCTAAGGAGACAAGGAAAGCAAAGCTTGTGTGTCCCAATAAAGTAAATTTTCCGCGATTCCAGTCCATACGGTCACGTGATCAACTACCTGCGCGTGCACGGAACGTGCGCATATATTTATATGTAGTACAAAATACATGCTGATGTTAATGCGACTTTAGCACACAATAATAACGAATAATAATAATAAAGAGGAAGGACGCACACGTGTATGGTATACGTACAACGATAGTATAGGTACGTGCATAAGCACGATTAGGGAGGAGATTGGGATATTAAACCATTTCAAAATCACTGCTAAGCTCCCTCACAATTGTAGGCTCATTTTTCCATAATGAGCATACTTTCTATGGAAAGAGTTATCTTGATTATCATTAATGTTGATGATATCGTTGATGCATTTATAAAAAGGTATGGTTTATTCTAGTAAAATAAAAATATATTCATAATCTATAATTACTTCTTTTTATCAATCTAATAGAGGACTTGACACGCCACAAATATAAATAAAATATGAGCTATTTGCACCTATGAGAACACGTTCCCATATGTGTAATATTATTATAAAATTTAAACACCAATATTATTATACTATAACAAGAATCCAAGAGTCCTGATAGAACGGCGGCGGACGTGTGGTAGTGCGATGTCCTTGAAACGCGCGACGGTGACCGGAAACGGATAGGATACGGGTAGGTTACACGCAGCGCAGGTCTTCGAAGCACGTCGCGCATTTAACATTATTATTACTTTTATTATTTTTATAATTTATATTTTTTCTTTATTTTTTCCTTCATTCATGTTTTCCACGTAATTGTTTCGGTCGAGCACGTCGAGAAATCATGGTTACAGCAGTACCGACGTCATTATAACGGGTATATGAACGGAGGATTGCGAAATCCGTTCATCATATGTTCGTCCTTAAGCCATGAACTGGATTTTCGATACTGTGCATGTGCAGGAGGCAACTCGCACCTCTGAAAAATATTCGACGACTACAACGATAAATAACAAATGGGGCAACAACGGCATAGGTCGTCCGAAATGTGGCACAAGGTAACACAACGATAGCAGTGGCGTTGTAATCATTTTCGCCCTTTATATGGGTTCCATTTATATACATGTATGTATAATAATATTTTGTACAACGTGTACGCTGTAGCGTGTTGTATTCGTTTCTCGAAACAATAAGTTGGGCCACTATATACAGATACTATAAATAGATGTTCCGCGTTCAGAATTGGTGTGATACACGCGATCTGACCTTTATCCAATTTGAGACGGTTTTTTGACAAAAATCATTAAACAAAATAAATACAATTTTGCTCATTTAAAAACGCTGTTTAACTAAACGAAAAATGTAACAATAAACAATCTATGTATACAAAATTCGAATACCATTCCCTCTTTACCACTCACTCATTGATCGTTCTATCTCAAAAATGACAAAACCAATGAACTAAAAATTTCCAGTGATACTCTATTAGTGCATCAGAAAAGGATTTGTTGAAAATCGCATTTGTAAGAGTCAAAATAGTTTGGTCCGAATGTATAATTTTTTCACTAGGTATTTGATTATTTAGGAAATACTTGTAGGATCTTGCTTAATATGTTGATATTAATAATTATCGATTGATTACGATTGATATACCTCTATTTAGTACTGTAATAGTTTATAGATTAAAATAAATATCATTAAAACGTATGACGATGGTGTGATTTTTCACCCTAACATTTTTAAGCTTAGGATTAGTATAGTACATCTCCCGGTTGGTCCGTATGATTCAGATAAATAGTAAATATGTAGATAATAACAACCAAAAACAATTATAATAATATAGTACATTAAAAAATAAAATTACTAATAGTATGTTTGTATAAGGTGCATTATAAGCCATGATGTATAATTTTATTGAGAGCAGCTTGTTGTTTTCGAAAATTTATTTTGCTATATTCCATAAAGTTTGCGAAACACAAATCTTATTATGCGATTATAAAATAATAATAATATAAAATTAATGCCTTACATAGAAATGCAAATGAAAATTTCATGTTTTCGTAAAAAAAAATAATTTCGTTAACTAGAGGTTCGACTGTATATAATATATTATGTCTGTATTGCTGCAGTAGCTCTACGATTAAAAAAACACAGACCGCAGGTGTCATTGTTATTTTAAGAATTTTAATTAAAATTTTTCATCCAGCTATCATTGTAATATACACAAGTTAAATAAAAATTTATTAATATACAATTTATATATTTTATACAAGAGTAATAACGTGTAATGTGTTATATTCTATCAAAGCCGAGCACATAAGAAACCGATTCGCATTAGCGTTTTTATTTTATAATATGTAACATCAACGTGCCGGAAATAATGTCCTAATTTACATTACTAAAATGCTAGCAAGTATTGCGTAAGAGGGCTTACTCCTGTCTGTACGAATAAAAATTATTTTATGTTTAAATAAAACGACTTCTATAAGATATAATGTACTTTAAAGTATAAACATTTGTTAATTTTGTTCGGTTCTAATAATGTACCTTTGACTAGGATAATTTAAATGTGAAGACAGACTATAGTTGTGATCAAACAAAGTGCACAATTTCAACAATTTATAGAGTATAATATGTTGAAAACCCTATTTATAGTTACTACAATATTATCATACATAAATACAATTTTTATAAATACTATATTTAAAACTACCTACTAGTAGAATTATACCAAGATATTTGAAACCGTTTACGTAAATCGAAATCATATTTTATTAATACATTTAAAATCATAAGTAATTTGGGTTGATTGCATAAAAAAAAAAAAATGGGTTTGTAGTTCAGTACGTTCGTATAAGCGTAAAATATTTATTAATATTATAAGAAAAAATAATACATAAAATAAATGAGCAAAACGGCGTTTCCGATGCTTGTTAAATTAATTAACTGTATTTTGTAACTTCTAACAATTATTACATATTGAAAATTAAACAACCCAAACGTAAAAATATATTTTTATGTAATAATATTACAATATATTACACATAAATCTTTCAACACCGTGGTACACTAGGTATGTTCGTATATAATTTATGAACTTATATAGAAAGTTTGAAACATTTTCTTTCAATACGTTCTCAAATGCACAGTTATTAAATGAAAACTAACATTGGCTTTTAACGACATACTAAAAAAAAAAAAAAATGATTCATTATTGACTATTAAATCTTATACTGTTCACATTTACAAAACTAATAAAACTATACTACCTATTCGTGTATGCAAATAAATATATGTACGCGCATGTGCGTGCGTTTTTTATCTCGTGCAAATGAGAAGTAATCTACATCCATAGCGTTTTAAACCTAAGAATTATTTGGCGTACTGCAATTTATTGGAAACTCGACCTTCACTGATTTGTTTATTCACCCTTTTGATCTGTCTATTGATCAGATATCCGTGGTACATTATATAATTTGCCAAATGATTATCGGATCCTATACTGCGGCCGAACGATAGTAATCCGATTACTACTCGGAAGTATTTTGTTCACCCAGAAAATCCCGCGTACAAGGAAATACTAATAATAGGACAACCTCATGCCACACCGAGGGTAAGTCATATACAAACACACATAAATGAGTGTGTGTGAATATACAGTACCAAAAGGATTGTCCTAAGAAGCGGATTAATCAATATGAGATGTCACCGACACGATATTACACAACTTAATCTCTCGGTGTATTGTATAGAGGATAAAAGCGCAGTCCGAAACACAAACCGGTAGGCATGTAAGGTTTTGTCTATAATATAATATATAACGCTGTCAGTTATTGAGTTTACATAAAATACAGCGTTAATATCGATTTGTACGATGTACTTTATTTTATAATATTTTATAGTTTATAATTTATAACTTTAGTTAACTGAGGAGAATATATAAAAAAGGTGTTATATTGTATTTACTGCATAATAGACGTAGAGGGAATAATGAAAATCTTATTCAATATAAAAATAATATAATTGTATATAATATGCAAATGATTGGTAAAGACAATTGTGAAAAGCTAAAATTACATGCGGATTAAGCCAAAGTATAATATACCGTCATCAAACGTGGAAAAGTTTATTATGTAATCGAAAATTAAAATTTAAGGTATCTGCACTTAAAAAGCGATATGTAAATAAAGAGAAAAACTCTGTAAATAGCAGTTGATAAATTACCCAAACTGTAAATTTATTTGTATATAATGTATTGTTTGCACAACTAAATATTTTGGTACACTAGATTATTTGCAGTTTAAGTCGTATTTCTTAAGACATTGGTCTAGTAATTGTGTTATAAACTATAAAATATATAAAGACTTCTAATGGGGAAAATAAGTGGACTTAGCTTATATAGTATATATATATATTATAGTATTATAATATATAATATATACTATAATACTTGAATATAAACGAAAATATATTTAGTCACACTGCGCGTGATTATCTCGTAGATAAAATTCATTAAGCAATAGTATTGTAAATATATCGATAGGTATCGTAACCTATTATACGTGACACGAAATGACAAATGTACTTAGACAAAACACACATCCGAAAGAAAGAGATAAAATATATTTATCTACATAAATTACATATTTAACACGTTATCTGATGATCACCTGGAGTTCGTTGACAAATGAAACAATAATTTAAATTTTTTATCTTTATATTTCTCTCCTCTTGTTTTTTAGTTACAAGAAAAAACCTAAATAAACTTGGTATTCTCAATATATTTCACGAACACGTTATGTAATAGGTATTAAATTATAACTTCTGAACCGTCAGATAAATACCCGTTGGGGTGCAACATTTAAACTACACGACGAATACGATAATTGTACAACTTACCAATCATGAGTAAAGCGACCGTGAGATGCTCCCTGCCGGAAGCCCTAGTAGCACCCAGAACTGTGCCCACGAGCGCCGAACAAATTCCGGCTATGAACACGATACCAATGAACCACCTGATGGATACGGTACTAGTGGCATCTGGTAACGTCAATAGACCACAGCAAGATTTGGGTGTGTCTTCTTCGCTGCAATAGTGTAACGACCTAAGGGAAAACGGAAGATCATATTATTAACAAAATATTAACACAATAATAATGATGTAGGTGATGTATATGTCATGCATAGCGACTGAAGACTATAAAATCAGTCATTAAGACATCCAACATCAAATACAAGTAATATACACGTATGGTTTTATCCTAGAACAATAACAGATTGATGCCGTTCAAATCAAGGTCAGCTATTTACATTAAAAGTCCATCGTTTGTATAATGCATATAAAATACTGACTGATATATTATTACTGTTGACGATTTAGATGATGGCGTGTTCGTAACTTTGTACAATTTAATCGTTCATATTATGCCCTGAGTATTTTAATATACAATAATAAACATGAATTAACATTCTATAATATTTATTTAACAGTGAGAAAATTAATAACATCAAACGTATTTCAGCTGTTATCGTTTCAGCACGCGCGTAACAGACTATATAGGTTCACACGAAATTAATAAATGTCAATAAATGTCTATGTTTGTTAAAACTTTACGCCTGCCAATTGAGATAGTTTCGATTTCGCTTCATTGCGATCACTCCAAAATATAATATTCTCATCGGACGATTTAGTAAGTTTAATTTTTTTATTCGTATAATTGAACAAATAGTTATAACGATGTGTTTACTAATAGGGCGCGCGTGAACGATATTGCGTGTAGAAACACTAATAATATACCCATCGGTACGTTTATAAATTATTATTCAACGCACGAGCAGTGGGTAGTGTTTTTTTCTTTCTATAATACGTTCAGCTCGGTTGTAGAAAGGTCGAAAGCTTATATTATCCCTAAACTGCATTAACCGAGAACACAATATTTAAAAACAATATCTCAACGGTAGTAGGCTTTACTTCTGAAAAAAATAACGGGTAAGCTATACCGGAAAAGTCGAATTTACGTATAATACCTACTAGTAGGTAGTAGCTGTATACAAAATGTAAATTTGTTTTTTTGTCCGTACGTTTATATTATGGTTATTGGGATCATTTAGTTCACGAATGTATGAAACCGTATAAAACATGAACACACCTCTGTAATAAACGTTCATTAGCATAAAATTTTACATCCAATCGCATTATCATATTATCTAAGTGTATGGATACTTAAGCGACACTCAGAGTTGGCGGAGGTGCAATTAAAATACACAACTGAATGGTTTTTTTTCTATTTTTCTCTCTTTTTAGGTATAAAAGTAGAACAGTAAACATCGCTAGGCTTTGTAATGTTTTAATAACCATCACATTCTACAAATAAGAAAACGGGCGCGCTCGCGCGCGCGCGCACACACACACACACACACACACACACACACACAGCAAAAACACGTGCATTAAATATCTATTCGTATTTGAATATTGTAATTTGTACAAGTGCATATCATTAATTATGATTATTCGCTCCTTCAAAGGACACAGGCTGTACAACACATAATATAATATACTTACGTCCGGGAAAATAACGAGTACCTAGCAATCTCATATTTTTATGGGATGATCAAATATTAAAAATAGAAGTCCATCACGTACGCACGCACACGCATACGCGTGGCTGAGTGATGTGAATACACACATATATTATTTGACCTACGTTCAAGGTAATCCACTGTCGAGATTCACGAACACGCCGCGCCGCCGGAGTGATGGCCTGGTGTCCGGTTTTTAAAAACGATCTTTCGAGGTTCTGCTGCGCGTATAATATCAATGATGGATTCTTGAATAATAATATTATATTAAAAAGTGGAATTGCGGTTTTGTTTTGGTCTTATTATTCTTGTTTTCTTCGCAGTATATCATGTTATTACAAACTTTAGAGAACATGTCGTCGGACCATGAGGAAAATCAACCTACAAACAGATTGAACTTGTGGAGCAGAACAGATCGATAACACTTTCTCTGGACGATTTTTACCCGGAGGTATATTTTTACAATTAATTTCCATTGCCATCACGTGTTGTCGATTGCAAGTAAGCGAAATATACTTTCATTAAAAATGAAATTATAATATCGTGTTTACAGTGAATGCCTACTATAGGACCAACTAGCGAAGTCATTTGGAAACAAAATGCAATCAACCGAGATGAAATGATAAGAGTGTAAATCGTCGTAATGTGTGTTTGTGTGTATTATAACATTATCAGTTTCAAGTGTACTCGTTTGTATAGAAATAAATTATAATTTAAGCATTAAAAAAAAGAGAAAAAAAATAGTTATTATATATTAAATATATTAAATAGTATATTTACTAATAATATATTAAAAAGTTATTTAAAAAAAACCGCGTAGACAGTTAAGGTTAAATCCAAAGTAAGTTTACGCATGTGTTCGGGATAGAGAGGCGGTTGCTATTCGGTTTGATAAAGTCGTAAAATAAACCCATCCTCTTAAAAAGCCGGTCATGCATTTCATACGGAATTTGGGGTGTGTACACGTTAGACTCCGACAGAAAAAGGGTGTTCAAATGAGTCTTATTCCTCAGGGAATTGCGCTTACGAGGAATTCGTTCGACACACCCTTTGTCGGTAAAAAAAAAGACCGTAGAATTTGTTGTTTTTCTTTTCATATATATCCCGTTGTAATTCAGTTGACCTCTTCAAAGCGCAATATCTGACCAAACAATAATGTTATAAAGCGAGTGAATTTTGAGGTGTATTCTACGCATTATGTCCTAATACCTAATACCTATTACCTAATAATTCAAATATTTAAAGCAAATTAAAGTGTTATAAGTTTTCAAAATATTATGCAAAAAATAATGATATAATTACTATTAAATTCGCTGAGATAGTTTTGAAATTACCTTTTTAAAAGAGTGTCTTGTACGGAAATTAAAAAAAAAACACTTTTGTGAAGACCTTTTTTTTCCAATCACAAATACCTTAAGTTTATGAGTGCCAGTTGACTTTGTTTAAAAACTTAGGACATTCCTTAATTTTTTTTTTTGCTTACATTTCATTTAACTTTCTCAAAATGTGCCGGTTTGCTCGAAATTTATAGTTTCGTGTTTTATTCCATGTGTACTATTAACATTAGTCGTTTCAAGAATGTTACACAAAATAATTGTAAGTTTGTATATGCCAACGACTTGAACAACATTAGTGTTTAAGCCTTTAACACTTATTACACTCATTTATCAAAAATCGTATTTTCGATTGTGTATATTTATTTACTATTTACGTAAACAAACCGAACAAAATTTATACAATAAATTAATATTAATTATCGTCGTTTTTTTTTTTTTTTTTTTTTTTTTTTTTTTTTTTATACAACAAGCGAATTATCCGATAATATAGAGAAAATATAAAGCCTTTACCGTTGGATTATACACAGACTAGTATATAATATGAAATACCTAGAAACCGACGAAAAATAGTGTTAAGCTAGGGATACAAGTTTTACTATACACGGATAATATGATTTCCTAACAAATAAACTAAATTTGTATTTTTCAAAAGAATTTTTATTTACAATAGGTCATTATGTCAAGACTTTTTTTTATCACTAAACCAACAAGAAAAACAATGTGTAATACATAATAATAGTTCTTTTTTTAGAAAAAAACGCATGTTAATTAATGTCAAGGTTTTGTTTTTCATTTTTTTATAATTATTTTAGCTGTTAGATACAAGTATGAAAAATCGAAGGATACAAGAGTTATAACTCGTGGTCAAATTTAATTTAATCGTTTTAGTGTTACTGTATATCTCAGTTATTTATTTACTTTTTTCTTTTTGTTATTTTCTAATGAACATGACAACAAGTTTTGTCTATATTTTTTAGTTCTGATTAAAAGAGATGATTTTTGCATTTAATAATTGACTGCCAAATATTTTTCGATTAGTTGTGGTAAAAAATTTCTTATGTCCGATATATTATATTTCAAATTTCGATCTATGAATAATTGCAATGGTCTCCCAATGGGAGATTATTATACAATGGGAAATATTACGTTCGCATTGTTGGTTTACTACTACTACAACGTATTAGTGTTATTACTACTTTTTCTTTTTTGCATTACACTTTTAATTGTAAAATGGTTAAATTTGTTTGCATCCAGTTTAACGTTAACTATATGAAACCAACACACAGTTATAACTGAAAAAAAATAAATCATCATATATCACTCTTACACAATGTATATATTATATCTCTATGTCGTTTAACTCGACAATGAATTTTGGGATGAGAAAATCACATACACACAAAAAAAAATGGGCGGGCAACAAACAATATATTTATATTTATTCCCACATTTTTTCAAAAATCTTTTTGCATTCTTGACGTTTTTCATTATTATTATTATTTTTTTTTTTTACTCTTGATTATTTCATTTTGAACACCACATTTGTTCAACGAACCGTACATCACAGCTATGTGAATTATAATAATAATGATTCTTTTGTGACTAATCGTTGCAGCCAGACAAAGTAGCAAAACATATGACAATTCTGCAGGTTTGATATAAAAATCTATTTCATGTATATTGTACTACGTTTACATTTTATTTCATAAATATACTTACGGTCTTAAATGTAGTTACATATTACACACGTTGTCTACTGGTGTGTTACTTTTTCCAATATTCTGGACGAGTAAAATAACTTCAAAATTATTATTCTATCGTAAAGATAATGATGAGATACCGTAAAAGTTTTCAAAGGTTCTAGCTCTCTCAAGATGTTATTTTGTATATTTTATTTTTTAAATAATTTAAATCAATTCCGATATAAAAACTTTTTCTGGTTGCTGTGATAAGGGGAATTTTTTTATGCAACAAAAGTTTTGAACAAAATATGTTTGACAGTAATTATTAACAGAAATGGAGCATTTGTTTTACATATAAATATTTTAAATATATCATACTACTTATAGAATTATAAACCATTAAGTATTAATTTAATATTATATTTCATTTAGTAAAATTTGGTTATGATCAAATTATTATTGATTTTATTTATTTATAAGAAATGTTATAATATACACGTTTTG